AGGAAAAACATTCCAATGATTTCGAGAACATAACTCCTTTCCGAAAACCAGAGAAATGGGGAGATCAGAAAGAGCCAGGGCACGTGAATGCATACAGTAGACACTCCGCACGTGCACCTTAATGCAGCAGACACTCCGAACGTCCACCTTAATGCAGTAGATTGCACGTCCACCTTAATGCAGCAGACACTCCGCACGTCCACCTTGAAGCAGTGGGCACTCCGCACGTCCACCTTAATGCAGCAGACACTCCGCACGTCCACCTTAATGCAGTAGATTGCACGTCCACCTTAATGCGGTAGATACTCCGCACGTCCACCTTAATGCAGTAGACACTCCGCACGTCCACCTCAATGCAGTAGATTGCACGTCCACCTTAATGCAGCGGACACTCCGCACGTCCACCTTAATGCAGTAGATTGCACTTCCCCCTTAATGCAGTAGATACTCTGCACGTCCACCTTAATGCGGTAGACACTCCGCACGTCCACCTTAATGCAGTAGACACTCCGCACATTCGTCACATCTCTTAATTGCTCTGTGTCGGGTAGACCATGAGCGGTGAAAGTGCCAGACTTTCGTTCTGCCTCATTCTATTATTTTATGGAATGTAATAATGCCTCACAAAAGTTTCGCCAGGCTCTGGAAGAATTACCTCCGACCGTGAATAAGCCGCAGACACATATGTATCAACAACGGAAAATGGAAGCGGAAAAACACTTCCCGAGACCAGCGCGTTAAACGAATCTGCCCGAATGGAGGCAAACAGCGCCTGACAAGCATGCACGCGCACAGCAAAGCCGCCGTGACAGATGACAGCCGGCGCCCGTCAGCTCGGCGTGATAACAAAAGGCCGGGGACCCATGCGACGCGGTTTTTTTGTCACAACCCGACCCCACTCTGGGTGGGGCGGGGGGGGGGCGCCCGATGCCCGCCAGCAGGGAATTCCCATATGGCACGCCCAGCGACGCTAACTTTCAGCGACAGTCATGATAACAGTCGTGGCTGGTCTCTCTGCAAGCCCTACAAGCGTCGCGCGACGGCACGCCTGGTGGTCACACGTGTGCCATCGGAACACGCACGCCTGGTGGCCACGTGTTCGCCAGTAGAGCACGCACGCCTGGTGGCTTCATGTACACCCGTGGAACACGCACGCCTGGTGGCCACGTGTGCGCCAGTGGAGCACGCACGCCCGGTGGCCACATGCGCGCCAGCGGAATACGTGGCCGCAGCGAGGCAAGGCAAGTGCGCCGAGGAAGATCGATCAAAAAGCGTCTCAATTTTCAATCGTGATATGCGTGGATATAGTACAAACGTATTGTGCGCATTTGATGTGGTGGTTTCATGCTGCACATGCACATCAATACCGGTGATCACCCTTGGAGTCACGAACGCAGAGAACCGTGTGCAGCAGTAATTAGGGGGGGGGGGGGGGGGGAGGCGATGCAAGAAGATAAGGTATACGAAATACTTGCGCGCGCCCTTAAAGTATACAAGCCTCCAAAACAAATCGAAACGTAAACGCCTTTTCTTATCTTATATAGCACCTACTTTTTTGTAGAAGCTTGCACTGACCACTATCATCATGGCCATTACATCATCGCAAGCACTGCGATGACTTGAAATGGACGCTTTGTGCCCTCCCCTTCCAATTTTGTACATGTACCAACATGCAAATGACTAAATCTCCACAACCGAAAAACCTTGCGGTAGACACGTAAAAATAAGTAGATTGAAAGCATGCGATGCGATTTCTCGCCATGCAAGAGATGTCGCATAAGAGATGTGGATCATGCAAGAGATGTCGAGATGTCGCATAAGAGATGTGGCGCAAAAGGCGATTTTTGGTGACACTATTAAGCTGCCCCCCGCACCCCCGTCCAACTGCGAAATCCTGCATGCCGCCCCCGTCCAACTGCGAAATCCTGCATGCCACCCCCGTCCAACTGCGAAATCCTGCATGCCACCCCCGTCCAACTGCGAAATCCTGCATGCCACCCCCGTCCAACTGCGAAATCCTGCATGCCACCCCCGTCCAACTGCGAAATCCTGCATGCCACCCCCGTCCAACTGCGAAATCCTGCGTGCGACCTTGTTTACACTGCCTTCAAACATAGGACAACACGAAAAGTTGCATCGCACGCTTAGGTGGGATGGATGATACGTAGCAAACAGCACACTGTCCAGATGACTGCTTGGGCAGCCTCAGGAGTGGCGCGCTATCGCGCCATCGTGCTATTGCGCTATCTCTAGCACTGCTGTCGCCGCCCAGTCCTCTGGCTGCTGTTTGGGATAGCAGCAGCCAGAGGACTTCGTCCAGCTTTTCGTTGGACCCAGAGGACTTCGTATTTGGTTGAGGGGCCCCACCCTCCCCCAAGCCCAACCTCAAGTTGGAGAAGAAAGTGAACCAAGCTCGGGGAAAATCCGCTTTTACCAGTTTTGGTGTTGGGTTCAGCTCTTTCTCCTGCTCAGCTCCCCTCCCCTTCAACTTATGTTGTGAACTATGTTTCTGGTAGAATACAAGCCCCGGAAATAACAGGTACAGGCCTGAACATACGACGTGCAGAACTGTCAACAAGTCGACCATTCACGAAGATTGCACAGACTCTGACAGCATACCGACCAAACACACTCCACGATGCTCCACATTCACTCACCCCACACCGAAGATCCTGAGAGAAACCTCCAGAAGAAAAAAGCACGAGAACGCAAAGCTCACGATCGCCAGCTTCGCGTCCAGCTTGCTCGTGAACTCGTTGGTCAAGTCGACGATCACTATCGATATGTCGACGAGGATGAGCACCAGCACGAACAGGCGACACGCCAGATGCTCCACCGTGCGGCGCACCTTCCAGCGGATGTAGCTGAAAAACAGCGACGCGGCACACCCTCAGTCATGCCTGCGCGGTAGCGCTCTGCGAGTGTGTGACGTCACAAGTGCGCCACGCGCTGTGCTGCCATATGTTCGTGCTCGGCCGGTTGTTTGTTGTGCGCGTCTTCAGCATACTTGGTTAGATCCTGTGAATGGTTTCAATGCCTGCTTTGACATGCAAGCATGAGGACACTGGAATAATTATTCTTCCGTAGTCTCAAGGTGCTTAAGAACTATAGACACTGTTGAGTTTCTATGGTGTGTTCATAATGTCAGCGATGATTATGGTCGTACGTGAAACGCCCGTCCGCAGGACAATCAGAATTGGGACCTCGGGTTCCCCGCCCAGAGCGCATACAGGCTCAACAGCCAGGGCGACCGGAGAGAAATTAACTGAAATACAAGCCCAACAATCAGGGTAACCATGGATAAGTTATCTGAAATTTAGGCCCGAAAGCCACGCCTATACGAAACTGGACTGCTGAACTCAGACTTTTCAGCAAGGCAATGCCAGGCGGGACAGTTATCCAGCCACCCAGCTTTTTAGAGCAGCTAACTGAGCTGGGACCATCTTAAATGGTTTGCGTTACCCCGTCACGCGGTACCTACAGAGAAATGGCTGAGCACCGAGAAGACTCAATTTCAAACATGGCTGCACGCTAGATAGCATCACCTACCGTACAGTAAGCACCAACGACACCTCCCCAGCCCGCTATCTTTGGTGCGGTTCAAAAAATTTCCACGGACCGAACGAGAAAACGATTAAAACGATCTAAGGAGTGAGCTACTCGACAACATGACTCCCACTAAAGAAACATCGCCCCGTGATGAGCCGAGGAGGTATTCGGACGCACTGGAAGTTGCAGCCTCTGTTGGGCGGCTTGGCCGGGTCGGCTATCCGGCTCTTGTACTCGATGGTGGAGTAGTCGAAGCCGCGGCCGTCCCCGAAGTAGGCGTCCTGCTCCGACTGGTCCAGGTACTCGCTGGTGCGCCCCAGGATCTGTTGTTGAGGCAGAAAACTGGAGTTGCTCATTGAAGATGCCCATTTACCTAAGCCAGCATAAGTTACGAGACACGGACGCTTTGTCTGCCTGTGCACGAGCTCGACCGGCCCACGCTGGGCGCTGGGTGGTGCTCAATCGGCCCAGTCAGCGCTGGGCTCTGAGCGCTGCTCGATGGGCCCAGCCCGCTGCTAGCGTTACAGACGTAGAATCGGGAAAGGGGGAGGGGGACGACGACGGGTGACTGAGTCCCCAACTTTCGGAAGATTTAGGATTGGTTTTAACTGGGCGTTAACTTGACAGAACCACAAAAAATATCGCCGACCCCCCAGCAGGACTTCCGCTGCCCCTGCAGACACGCCATTGGAACTTAACACTTAAGCAAAAGCACAAATTCCTCACCTCTCCGATCTTCTTCGGGTTTCCTCTGTACGGCAGCCCGGAGTCTTCGATGGGGTCGGCGTTTGCCTGATAATACGAGCTGCTACGCCTCGGCCCCCGGGGACTTCCCTGCAGACGGGACATTTTCGATAGCATTCGTGAATCACGGAATATCATTGGGGGGGGGGGGGGGGAGGGCACAGGTCTTCGCAGGTCGTCAGTAAGTATATCAAGTGAAGAGCGCTTACTGCATGTTATTACCGACGTGCTGGAAGGTGAAGGGTGGAGACATGACAGTTGGGTCATTCACAGGTTAGGCGTAGTGATTTTACCATTTTACCATTTTTGTGGTCATGATCATTCTGGCAACCGAACAGACAGAACCGTTATCACAGCAAGCCGGCGTTGTCCCTGCATTGGATTTGACCCCGGCCGACGTGAAGGGTGTCTCCGTACTTTGAAACCGAATAATTTTGGAGCATGTGCCGTGTCCGCTCATCCAGACAAGTTGATGATTTCAACAACCAAAAAATAATGGCTTCAATGGGCACAAACGATCGCCGATTTTGGCGCCTCCTAACATGTAGTCCGTGAATGCCTTCAGTCCGCCGCGTCCACCGGCAATTGTGCCGAGAACCCATCAGCAATCTCGGGCACACTTGTCCGCCAGACAAATGACGTCAGCGGGCCGGCTGTGACGTCAGCGGGTCGCCGCACCTGTGGAGACGACCCCACGTTGCGGTGGTGTCCGTTGTGAGACGCATCATGGCTGTCGCTGGCGCCGCTGTCGTGGCTGTCGCCACTGGTGAGCCAGCGAGAGCTTCTGGAGAGCACCGAGAACGCGGCGAGCACGTAGTTAAAGTTATGGCTGTCGCCGCCAGCGAGCCAGCGAGAGCTTCTGGAGAGCACCGAGAACGCGGCGAGAACGCAGTTAAAGTCGGAGACAGAGCGAGCGGTCGGTTGCGCAATGACTTCAGCGGGCACATGATTGTGCGTCGTCACCGCCTGGAAAATGGGACGTTTTGCGGTGAATTCACCAGGGTTAGCAAAGTTATTCACCAAGGTAAACAATGGCGGAAGGCTGAGGCAAACAATCGGTCGAACCCTTTCAACACACTGTCATTTGGTATAAAGCTGTAGATAGCGCTACACCACACATAAAAGCCGTCGATAGCGCTACACAAGGTAGGAATTCCCTTGCAGCGCCTTTATCAGCGTAAGTAATCAAATACACAACCACATGGAAGCTAAGCTGATACATAAAAAAGCTGTATCACCTTTTCTATTTGTACGGAGGCAAAGCTCAAAGATATTTGAGAGGTATTCATTGCGTACAAGGCGCCAAAGATGACCGTTCCGGTCTCAAATATACAGGAAATATTACCACGGGAGATCGCGTCCTGCCTTTGGACGCCACGCAGCGAACCCACAGTACTAATTAATCCAACGCGCCTGAATTTTCAGCTTGCTGCTCAAAATGTCGCAAGGATGAATTGGCTTCTATTCAAGCAAAAAGACCGCCGGTGCGCAAGACCGGTGCAATCAAAAGCATTTCTGTCATCACAAAATGCCTTTAACCTAGAGTGCACTCTGACCCATAGCACACCAAAACACATGAATGTCACAATCATAGAAAGTAGCCTGTCACATTACGTTACAGCGAATGCAACACATAAAATGTGTTTTGTGTTTTAAATACACATATGGTCTGATACCGCCCCCTTTTTCCGCATCCGTATTGCACCTTTAAATCGCCAACAACATCCCCTTCAGCCACTCTCATCCGCCAGCATGTTTCCAAATGTACCAGATGCGCTCACGCTTTAAGCTCTACGTAACTACCATCGAGTGCGGCTGGCTCTGGCAACTTTACGGGGCAATCTTCCGTCGGCAAATTCATGCGATCCTTACGACGACGCGCGTTGTAGTGCGCTAATGTGCTACCACACGCTATCGTGCCGACACACGTTATCGTGCTGACACACGCTATCGGGCTGACATACGCTATCGTGCTGACACGCGGCTGATTACGTTGTGGTTCAGGGCACTCCGTTTGTCCGTTTGCGAAGACTAGAAGAACTGGCAGGTTGAACAGCGAGGGCTCACGACCACAAATTTTCCGTGTGCGTTTATGTAAGCAGGATCACGACAAGTTGGGACATTACCATAGTTTCGAAAGATCAACTAACTTGTAGCATAGCAGCCTGGGGCCTGACGGAATCGAACGCAAATGCAGTGAGGTCGTGGGGGCAAACGCAATGTCTGTAACTCTCGATGACCTTCTGCAGACAGACTCCACCCATGTCTGAAAACGTTGCGGACAATTCATTTTCACACAATTCTCCGTTGCTCACCGCTTCAAAATCCCGTTGTTGTGAGCCTTGTCCCTCAGCACGGTCGCCGGGGGGTGAGCGGCGGCCGGCTTCTTGTCAACGTCGTCCATCTGCACCGAATTCGATCCGTTCATGGACATCTGCACCCATTATTTACACCCATACACCCATGCCCATACCACTCCCATGCACAGAAGATTGCATGACGCTCCCCGTACCCTATCTTTGCCACCGCTTGGCCGCGATGGTAACGCGCCGATACGCTACGCGGGGCCGTCGAAGCAAACGTGCAGTCATTGCCCCACGTCATACAGAAGCGCTCAAGTGCGTTTGCAAGCGCTGCGACGCCCCGGGCCAGAGTGAGCATCTAGAAGATGAGGCAGCTCAGCGCTGTCTGAAAGCCGTCCGTCAATACGCCGCAGCTTCCTTTGCCCGACGGCGGGGGCAGCACCAGCTCGGTGTGCCTGTGTTGTGTGCCATTGGGGCTTTACGACGCATCCAGCTGCTAAGGCTATATGGCGTAGCCTGCTTTTCACCCTGGCGAGAAGGGTGGGCATCGCGGGGAATCGAACCCCGTACCTCTGGCTTCCCAGACGCGCAGCTGTTAACGCATACGCGTCAACCACGCATTAACCACTACACTACCGGCACCCCCGAATGCGCCTGTGTTCGTGATATGGGAGTGTGACAGATCTCGGGGGAGTAGCCGCGAGATCATCAAAGTTAGAATGCGGCCGTAAATCTTTTGATTATTTTATCGTGTGCATCACTGCCCTGGTCTGTCATGGTAAATCTTTCTATTATTTTATCGTGTGCATCACTGCCCTGGTCTATCATGGTAAATCTTGCCATTGTTTTATCATGTGTATCACTGCCCTGGTCTGTCATGGTAAATCTTTCGATTGTTTTATCGTGTGCATCACTGCCTTGGCCTATCATGTAATGTCTCAAGGCGATCATGACTATGTCGGGAAGACCGGAGACGAGATGGTTGTCAACGTAGAACAGCGAACACGACAAGAAGTCATGAGGCCAAAATCAGCACATAAAGGTGCAAATGTCTGCTTCGAGCAAGCGTGCCCAGCTCGAGTTGCTGATATGTCTGCTTCGAGCAAACATTCCCATGTTTTTATTCGGGGATAACGTCCAGTCTATCAGTCCAACGCGGACCGCCCATGCCAGCCAAAAGCAACATTGGACACACTGAGGAGCAAGTGACATTTGGAAAATTTTGGAAATTTGGATTTTTGGCATTGGGTTAGAGAGCTTCAAAAATAAGCTAACCCAATCCTATTTCCAGCTAACCTTTTCTTCCAATAACGAAATTAGGCTTAAAAAACGCGAAATCGGAGCGACCAAAAATTAAAATTAGGTTCACCACGCAATGCCAGGTCAAGTCATGACCGTATATGAAGTCATCACAGCGCAACAAGTTTTCAAAACGTTTTGTTGACAGCTGACGACAAACCGCTTTCATTTGGTCGCAGGGCTACGCTTATTGCGTACGAAGCACCAACAGAATGACCACGCGCGGTTCATCACGCCGAGGCATAATTGTCTGCTGCGCTCTGCACCCAGCGTGAGCTTGTGTCATGCAAACATCCATCCACATCTACGTTTCAACGCCTAGTGATGGTAAATTCCTCAAAATATCTCAGTTTGACACCACTTGTGACGTCATCAGTGACCTTCAGGTAATCAAGAAGGTTTTTGTGTCGGAGGAGCCAGGAAATTTAGCTTGCAGTAACTCCTTGAGCGAACCAAATCAATGGGCTCCAGACCATGAAAAAGGACTCCCTGACAATAATTGAAGGCGCCTGAATGTCCCAGCCCAGGTCAGGTTCCGAAGTAAAAAGCCACCTTGGGCGACCATACTCAAGTCAAGGCTCATTGTTTTACATGGTTAAAGTTAATGTTGATGGTAAATGATAACCCGATGTCGACCAGACAAATTATGCGGTGACAACTTGGATCGGAACACCCTGCATGGTTTTCCGAAACGCTGCGAGCATTCTGCCTAAAAAACGAAAATATCGCATCATGGTACTTAACCACGACTATGTTACCGGAGCGTGAGCATGCCGCCTCAGTAACTGTAATGGCGTGACCTATGACAGCTGCGGCGCCACAGCGGTGCAGCCGGGATTTCCTTAAGGGAGGGTGCCAGAATCTGGGTGAGCTTGCGGCACGCCGACGTTAAACTTTCTGCCGGGAGCCCTCTACGGCGAAAAACGGAAATCTGGACGAGAGGTAAGGCCGGGGGCCCTCCCCCCCCCCCCGTTCCTCTCCCTTGACACGCCTCTGCGGTGCTGTGCTATTCGCGCATTCGGTGCATTGATCGCTGCATGGCCTGCCTCGCACGCGGCTTATCACGCCCAAACCAAAACGAAGCGGTCCTGCACCAACCTGTCCTGAATTGTCCCACTCGGGCGTCGGGGCGTTCAAAGTCAAGGTCAAGGTCAGAGGCCAGAGGCCACGCCGGCGCCCGCTTAACGAGAGCCATGTTCCAGCTCCAGGTCACCTGAGTCACCCTCACAGACGAGCCAACGCTGGTCTCCCTCCGCACGCCACTGGGCGCTGCCTTCCAAATCGGCGCGAGAACAGCAGCCACAACAGCAACAGCAGCAACAGCAACTGTGCGAGAACAGCAACCACCACCCTCACTTTCACCGCACAACCTCGATCGCCTCCAGCGCGGCGTAGCGCAGCCGCACCGCGCGAGAGAGCGCACGCCTCTGGCTCGCGATCACCCCAGCAGCTTGAGTTGTCACCAGCTGATGCGCGTCAACGAGGCCCCTCGACAGGCCCCCGGACCTGCTGCCGTCCATTCCTCACCGCGCGCCACGCGTCACACATCCGCCTCACGCGCCGGCCGCCGCAGCCCGGCACAGCTCGTCACGTGACACCGGCTGTGACGTCACCGTAGGCGGAGGGCGGCGCCAGCACCAGGGAGGTGAGCGCTCGATGCCCCGTGCGTGGCTCTCGTACGCAGCAGCGGCCGCTGCTGCGGGGGAGGCGCGCCGTGCTGGACGCCTGCTTTCACACGTGAACCGGAGAGTGAACTATGAACCCTGTCTTTGCCAAGGTGAGAGCGGTGGCGACTGTGGCTGGTGCCGCCTCTGCCTCGCCGGTGAAAGGGGCTGCACCGCCGGTGAAAAACAATTGAGCAATGCTGGTTCATCATTCAGAAACACACGTTGCCGTCACTGCATAACACGGGTGGGTGCAGGACGGCCGTCCATAACTCGTAATACGCGTGTGGAGACAGGGCCTTTTGATGGGGTGTAACCGAAAAGCAAGGAGGGGAGGACGTACAGGCCGGCGGAACGTTAGGCTCCGGTATTCCTGCAAATCAGTGAGGAATCTTTAGAGGAAACAGCGTACGCTGAGGGAAGGGTTGGGTTCCGCCTGGCATAACTCATGCATAACCGGCGGTCGGGTGTAAAAATGACTCAAAACATGCGCACCGTAAGAACAGATGGCTCCAAAGCACTCTCCACGTTCTGCTTAAGGTTTCAAAGCGCGGGCAAAGGTGTAGCCAGGGATGTCAGCTTACCAGAAAACAGCTCTGCCTCGTGCGCATAACTAATATGGTTGTCGTGCTCAGTTACGTGGGTAGGACTTTGACCAGGAGGGGTCACATCGGGTTACAGGTGTAGTCCAGGGGCCCTCTCGTCGCCAAGGGACCCTGTGTTTGGACGCGGAGCCTTTTCAGGTTCGCGATCCTATGTTGGTACCTTGAAGGTTTGTTTGTTATCTTCTATAAGCGCTACGGGCGCCTCAGACTGCCACAGAGCACTCGCCTGTTCGACCTCAGTGCCAAAGCCCGCCACCCCCAATGGGGAGAAGCGCAGTCCAAAAAGCGTCCCCTCTTGGCTGCGCTAACGGCTGTATTTTTAATATTTATTCCCAGCCTTTCAAGCGTATCATGCCTGCGATCAGAGTTAAGCTAAGCAGTGATTATTGTCCGAGCCCTGACGCGTGTCCTTTTTTGCCAGTGCGAGTCTGTTCGCCCGCTGCAGTGGCCATCCCGACGCGGCTATTACGGCAGCGACTCTGACGTCATAAAAACACACCATAACAAAATGAAAAGCTGTCGCAATGCGAAGCACATTTACTTAATAGTGCAATTTTGTTATCTAAAGCAGGCTTTTGCACTTAAAAGCATACCATTAGGCAGAGGCGAGCGTTTTCCATCATATCTGACGTTTGCCTCATTATCTTCATATTTGGAACATTGCCTTCAGCATTATCCAAAACATTCCAAACCGGCGGACCCAAGGTTTGCGCTCACGAGAGCGTGCGGTCGTCTGCCTCATCGACCCACACTTTTGCCGGCACGAGTTTCCGTTTTGCCTCCAGCGGAATCTCTTGGTCGCGTGTCGTCGCGGCGCTAGGTCATTAGCACCTTGCCCAGTTTCGAGCCATACTGTTCAACTTTTCTCAAGCTGAAACGCTTTCCATTTCCAGGTTTATCAAACGAAGGAGACACACACAATGGCCAATGGTAATGGTAATGGTATGGCAATCATGGTAATGTTGCAGTTAACACCCGCCTGATCAAACCTCTTGCATGATCATGCCTGACGATTTATGTGGCACGACTTCTAAAGCATTGCGTTTTTCGGCGCTGAACACGGCACGAACGCGGGATCAGTGGCTGCCAGGGTATTAGCTAGAAGAAACCATCGCGCTCGGGCTTTGCCGGGCCACACAACTTGAAAATTACATCAGTTCAGGGAAGACTCGCTCGTCCTGCGACCTCGCAAGGATATGACCAGGATATCCGTCGATCCCTGCATATCTGTCGATCCATCGATCCATTGATCCATCGATCCATCGATCTCTGTCGATCCGTCGCTCCCGTATATCTGTCGATCCGTCCATCCCGTTGGTCTGTCCATCCCGTCGATCCGCCCATCCCGTCGATCCGTCCATCCCGTCGATCCATCCATCCCGTCGATCCGTCCATCCCGTCGATCCGTCCATCCCGTCGATCCGCCCATCCCTGCCAGTTCCGGTTGGCAGCGGCGTACTGTAAAACACAGTCACAAGCTGTGTTTGGTGCGGCGCGGCACGGACGCCGCTCTGCGCAATCCAAGTTGATGGCCGGCTGCAAAGTCAAAAGAGGGGGAGGGGGGTGGACGCGGCGGAGCTGGAGCTATAGCCTCTCCCCCTCCCCCGGCACCGTCAAATGGAGAGGGAATTTCATTAAGCACGGCCTGACGTCCATTCACCCAAATAGCCGCGGGTGGGGAGCGGTGCAGACAGAACAGGCGCCGCTGGGGCGGCCCGGGCAGCGGCCTCGGCAGACCTGGGCTTGTCGGCTGCCTGTACGCCAGGCGGTCGTCAGTATAGCGGCATTATTAACTTAATATTTGGTATTTGCCTAGCACCGGCACCAGCACCACACATCGGGTCGATCAAGAGCTTGCAAGTGTTGGCTGTTACCGACACTGGGTCTGAATTTCATTCCATTCACTTGCGGGGCACCATTTCCTGGGGTCGGCAAAAGTCACGCGCAGGCTCCGCCCCAGTGCCGTCGTTACTGATGCCGTACAGGCTGCCAGCAGCAATGCGGCAAAATATTGCGCCCGTCTTCGCTGGCGTCACCCCAGCCACTGACGGTTCCGGAGCTTCGTGAGCGAAAGTACGCTTCTCCACAAGTTGAGCATCCGTCGAGACGGGCCGTTGAGGGTTGCTGCTGGGGGGAAAGGGGGGGGAGGGGGGGAGGGGGGAGGGGCGGCGTCAGTGGCGGCGCCAACCGGCCAGGTATGTTATCCATCCACATAACACAAAGCTGGGCACCATTCGCCGGTCCAAATACCTCCGGCGAGATTACGTTGATACGGCGCGCGCGTGCTCCGCCGGGCCGTGACGGCGCGGCGGTAAACACGTTGGCAAAGTGGGGCGCAAAAAAAGGTGAAAAACAGACCGTCCGCCGTATTCGCCGGCGGTATTGAATTAGCCCCCAAGCAAATCAGCTTAGCAGCTGTTTTGCAGCGCCATGGAACCGAATAAAAAACATGGAAATTTTGTTTGCAGTGAGATGGCTCCACAGCGGCTCAGGACTGCTCGTGTTGATGGCCCCCCCCCGCCCCCCGCCCCGCTCATGCCACATGTGTGACCCTAGGACTTGGGGGGCTGCGAACCTCGGAACATGAATAAATGTGGCGCCGTCAGATGCAGTTCCGCAAGGTCAATTGCGCAATTTTGTGATTCTAAGCGGCATCTGCACAGATAATGGCTGCGCCTGGGGTCAAGGCGCCATCATTTTGGTCATCAATAATATTTGTTCTGGTTTGGTTATGCTTTGTCCAAGCATTGATGTAACGCTAAATTGAGCAGAAATAACGGCGATTCGTAGCACAACAAACTATGCTGAAACAACGAACCCTGAAATGCGGATGGATATTTTACTCTGCACAGAAGCCTGAGTATGTAGGTTTCGCGAAGTGAGCATATTCTGAACAGCGCGTTCTTATTGAAATAGATTAGTACATTATAAGCTGCTACGGGAGTTGAGACAAAACCGATTTCGGGATAAAGTTCGTCGGTTTCATTACTGGGTAGCAGGTGAACAAAGGCTACGTCATCTGGCTGAAGAAAAACACGTGACAGTGTCGAATGCGGATCACGTTGTTGAGTTGAATGATCAACATTTTTGACAGTTTGAATTACGAGTTGGACAGAAAAATTCTATGACAAAAAAGAATCATGTCAAATAGAAAACATGAGGTGCTGAGGAAGAATTTCATTACACTAACGTGCAGGCCGAGCCGAGGGAAGCTGAAGTTGTTACGTACCTAGCATTGGAATTTCGACCTAAAATGTGTCACTCGATCTTTAATAAACCGTAATTATGCGCCAAGTACTAATTTCTTACCCTGTTTGGATACACCTTATCACAACTTATATATATATATATATATATATATATATATATATATATACGTTCTGGTCGATAATACCCGCTTAAACATGACTATGCTTCGCACTGTCAGAGCACCTTCGATGCCAACATTCACGCGAGCAGCGGGGTATGTGGTGACCTTTTGATCCGCGCTGCAAGCATGCCATTACGGTCTGCTGCCGGCCAAACGGCCCATTGAGTGCAGCCGTAACAAAATATGTAGCTTCATTACATCGCGGCGATGCTTGGAATACACCATGATGTGAGTTACATCCAGCGTAAACCGACTAGTCTGTACAGATTTTTCTTCATTCGGTACCTGTTTTATGTAAGTTCTTCAGTGCATTGGTGAGAAACAGTATCCACACAGATTGACATAGATTGACATAGATTAGCGAGGCACATTATCCACTTCTGCTCTGGGTTCGATAAAGGCATGCTGCCGAAATATCAACCCATCTATATCTCTATTCTCCTGTGTTTTTTCTCCGAAGAATAAGGCTATTTCTGCTGTCCTGTCACAGCAACTATTTTCATTAAGTGACATGACCCCTCGGTGATTTCGTCATCACTGCAGGTGACTCGGTTTTCGGTGGACTGGACGTCGGCATGTTGTTTACGGCGATAAAGCTTACAAGA